CAAAACTTCTCCGCATCAAGGCAAATTCAAGACGGCTGACTCATCTTACCTGAGGGAGAGATAAGACCCACCCACCAGAACGTCATGACGTTGATAACATCATGACACTACTGTATGGTTCCTAAACCTTTTGAGCATTCCACACAAATTAGCTATAAACTATTGAGCCCTATTCAGTTAAAGTGGCATAAATCTCAAAAGAGCTCAAAACTTTTTAGTTTGGTCAACTCCATAATGACATTTGACTGTTGTAACCTTATTAGTTATGAGCTAGTACAACTGTTTAGGATTACAGTGTGGGTCTCTCTGCTTAGGCTGCTGAAGAACCGTTCATAACAAGATTTCTAGGCCGATGTCACCGTACTACACCGTAGTGTCACCTACTTCATTTTTTATTTTTCTACTGAGATGCATCAGGACATCAAGAGTAAACTGTTTCCCAAATAGTTAAACTTTGTCTAAATTCTTGCATATATAAAACAGAATAGATTCTGTCCCAAGAATTCTTTTTGTTTTGATTAATGAGAATTGCTTCCTCATCCTTGCAATTACACCGATTCACCCTTCAGTGGTTATGACTTAGATTATATGAGTGGGAGTTAACTAAAAAATGAAAGCTTGTTTTTGGTTAGTAAATTGACCTGGTGCCCCAATTTTATTTAAAACAAAAGGAACCTTGTTTTTTTATCACTCACATATTCCACAGCTATTATAACATCTAGTCTTTACAAACCTCTCTAGGAAAAGATTTACCTTTATTTAACCTACATTTTTATCTCATCTCAGGCTACTGCATAAGTTGACATTCAAATTTGCAAAAGGTTATTCATGGATCTGTGGGGCAGGGAAAAACTAATTTTTCAAATAAAATGCAAAAGAAGGGTTATAACATTGTCCTGATGCATCTCAGTAATCCAGGTAAAAAAATCAAAAAGAAAAAAAATTGTGTAGGTCTTCTGGACGGGTTCTTCTCTAATGAAACGTTTCATCTCTCCTCCAAGAGACTTCTTCAGTCTGAGAGCATTTAAAAGCCTGAATTTTGCCTGAAACTCTCAGACTGAAGAAGTCTCTTTGAGGAGAGGTGAAACGTTTCATTAGAGAAGAACCCGTCCAGAAGACCTACACAATTTTTTTTCTTTTTGGTTATAACATTGCATTTCCTTTAATAATTACAGTGGTTTGCAAAAGTATTCATACCCCTTGAACTTTTCCATATTTTGTCACATTACAACCACAAACATAAATATATTTCACTGG